ATATATATATATATATATATAATAATTTTACATTTTATGTACACAATCTGTGATTTAACAGACATTTATGATTGGTATACTTACATACCGCTCCATTAAATAGATAAGTAAAAATGAGTATTGCTGAAGTATTGCTGAAATAACGAAAGAAAATCGATCCTAAAGACTAATTACATATTTTCGTGGAAAAATGATACTAAATGATAGGTAATAAATGAACATATATATTTGTTATAGCTTTCCCAAATGTCTGTTTATACCCTTAAATGTTACTATTTAATATTAAATATTAAAGCCAATTTAAATCAATTCCATTTAACACTTTGTTACTCACATTTTTCTATTGAACGTATTTTCTTAAATTTTAATAATATATAGGAGTTTTTGGAGTCGCTGATTACATCTGAAGTCAAAATTAAAAAAATTAAAATGGCGGATTTAATATGGCGGCCAAATTGAAAACAACTATAGCTTTATACTTACGTGTGAAATTTTATTTTTATGTATAAAGAGTTTTGAAAGATGTTTGATTATTTAAAATTTTTTAAATAATTTTTTTAAATGTTGCTAATGTATAAATTAAATAAAGGTATTTTTATTACAAAACATTTTCTTATATTTCGAAATTTTCTAAAAAAACTTTTCTAGGGAAAATTTTATAAGAAAATAACCGTTCTATATATAAGAATATGATTTCATCCCTTAAAAGCACTTTCCGCCCCAATCATTTATTTATCTATATTTATTTATTTATTACTTATGTGTATATAAAGTTTTACTAAAATTAGAATTCAATATGTCTTAAATCATTTTGGCCGTTATTTTGGATTTTTGGATCTGCCATTTAAAATTTGCCAATTATATGAATGCTGCAGATTTGAAATCGGCGATCTTAAAAATATCTATTAAATCTATTAATGTAGAGATTTTGAAGATATATATTTTTATTTTTGTCCCAGCATGTAAATTTTTTGTAAAAATAGTGCTAATTTTGTTTAATCTTTTATTTCTAATTTGTAGATAACACAAAGTAATATTATTTTTAACGAAATTAAATTGAAAGAAGGTCGAGAAACCGTCAGGATCTTGCTCACTAATATTTCTGTATGAATTTTACATATATATACTAGTATATTCTAGTTCCTCGAACTACGTGTTGTTACTCTCGGTCTCGACGTAGCTCTTGTTTGAAACAAAATAGTA